GCCTCTCATGCAGGAGGCCAGATTGCTGGGGTCTTGGGCGGAACTGAATCTTGCCTCCATCAGGGCGGAGCACATATCAGGAGTGGCCAACCAGCAGGCGGACTCATTGAGCAGAGCCACCGTGGACCATTCCGAATGGCAGCTGGATCCAAAGATCTTTAGAGAGATCGTGGACAGGTTTGGTTCCCCAACCCTAGATCTGTTTGCCTCCCCAGCCAACTCACAGCTTCCCAGATTCCTTTCCAGGTTCCCGTCTCCATCAGCGGAAGGAACAGATGCACTCCGCAGCCCCTGGCCCAGGGAACTGCTCTATGCCTCTCCTCCCCTGCCCCTTCTACCTGCCACGATCAGGAAGATCCTTCGCGAACAAGCAGAGATCCTCCTGGTCGCTCCGCATTGGCCGAGACGATCTTGGTTCACCGACCTGATGGAGCTCTCCGCATCCCCTCCATGGAGGATTCCAGCCAATCGGATCTCCCTCATTCAGGGGGAGTTACATCATCCGGACCCTCAATGGCTCCAGTTAACCATCTGGCACTTGAGAGGCAGGACTTAGGCCTAGACGCATATTCGTCAAGGGTCATAGCCATGATCCAGCAATCCAGGCGACCCTCGACGAATAGAATATACGATGCCATGTGGAAAAGCTTCTGTAATTGGTGTTTAGCTCACAAAATTGAACCCTTACAGGCTGCAGTGCCAGTTATCTTGGAGTTCCTGATGGACGGTTTGGACAAAGGGCTTTCCACAAGCACCATCCGTAGGCAGGTAGCAGCACTCGCCACGGTTATTTCCTATGGCAAGGAACCCTTAACACAGCACCCTATGATACGCTCCTTCCTAAAAGGAGCTAACAATGCCAGACCACCAGCGGTACATAGATATCCCTCCTGGAACCTTCATCAGGTTTTACAGGCTCTTGTCTCACCATCCTTTGAGCCAATTGACACTTGTTTGCTCAAACTATTATCAATGAAGGTGGCATTTCTGGTTGCTGTAACTTTAGCCAGAAGAATCTCTGAGCTGGCTGCCCTGTCAGTGAGAAAGGACCTGTGTATCTTCCATAGGGACAGGGTTACTCTCAGGTTAGATCCCTCTTTTGTGCCCAAGGTCAACTCCTTGTATCATAGATCACAGGACATAGTTTTGCCGGATTTCTGTCCGAACCCATCTAATGACATAGAGGCTCAGTGGAACAGATTGGATGTTCGCAGGGCCTTATATTGCTATATACAGAAAACCTCATCCTTCCGCAAGACTGAGGCTCTGTTTGTGTCATTTCACCCTTCGTCGTTAGGACAGAAGTTTTCCTCACCCACTATAGGCAGGTGGATTAGAGCTTGTATTTCTCTGGCATACCAGACTCAGTCACTACAAGCTCCCAGCCATATCACGGCCCATTCCCCCAGGGGCGCAGCCACTACAGCAGCCTGGTCTACCCAGGCATCCATAGAGGAAGTTTGTAGGGCAGCAACATGGGCATCGCCCTCCTCCTTTGTCCGTCACTACAAGATGGATATATATGCATCTTCTACGGCTTCATTGGCCGCAAGGTCCTAGAACACGCATTAACATTGGATGGGACCCAGGCCCAATCTAATTCCCCACCCTAGGGACACAGGGCTTTGGTATGTCCCATCCGTGGGTTCTCCATCCAATCATGCTGGATAAAGGGGCGTTGTCTTACCTGAACGCCTTTTCTCAGCATGATGATGGAGAATCCACTCCCTCCCATTAGGTCAGTTGGCCTGGTTCCCATATTGTTCAGACGCGTCGAACTAAAGTCTGAGTATCGCCTTAGCCTAAAACTGGGGTGCAGTTGGCACAGAGGGGGCGGTACTAAATTTCAGACTTAGTCTAATTGGAGCAGATAGATTAAGACAACCCATCCGTGGATTCTCCATCATCATGCTGAGAAAAGGCGTTCAGGTAAGACAACGCCCCTTTTTCACATCGGCTCATCCTATCTTCTCCATAGACTGTTTGCTGGAGAAACTGGAAGTTGCTAGGCCAGTGATGGCGAACCTTTTAGAGATTGAGTGCCCAAACTGCAACCCAAAACCCACTTATGCATAGTTGAGTGCTGGGTGGGCGTGGCCCATTGGGTGGGCGTGGCCCATTGGGTGGGTGTGGCCCATTGGATGGGCATGGCTGCGGTGGGCATGGCAGACTGGGTGGGACTAAAAAGTTCAATCAGTTCCAACTTTGCAAGATCTTTTTTTTTCCCATGAAAAGTTGAAAATGACTGATTGAACCATTTTTTTTTGCACATGGCGGTGGAGGCCTAAAGCAAAAAGGTTTTATAAAATCCAGCTGAAGGCCTAGGACTATGGCGATGGCGCGCGTGCCCACAGAGAGGGCTCTGAGTGCCGCCTCTGGCACCCGTGCCATAGGTTCGCCACCACTGTGCTAGGCTATCGCTTTCTCATTGGAAGAAGGCAAGGAGATGGGGTATAATTAAAAAATGTGAAAAATAAAACTAACTCCTAGGGCTGATGGGTCATCTACATGAGGAAGATGTCATTCTGTGTTTTCTTTGAGTTGATTTTCAAATTTCACACATTACCTAAAAATATGTATCAAGTTGAAACAATGCTGACATCCAGGAATTTTCAAAACTAAATGAAAACCAATAACATCATTTTTAAATAACAGGCATATAGTTCCCATGTTTATTTCCCTGACTTACGGAACAATCTGATTCAACAGCCACTTCTAGGCCTTGGGTTTCTCTTATATGTTGATAGAAAGAACTGTGACTACAGATGGATTACTCTTGTGACAACTTGCCAGAGTTTCATACACAACTTGTCTTAAGACTAGCTTTTCAGCTGAATCTGTTAAATTATTATGGTCAGTGGGTGGAACTCATTGTTGTCAAAGAAAAATTGATCTTTCTATGGCTCCCATAACCACATTGTCAATATTTGGTATATTTGGCATATGAATGGCGCAATTTCCTCCTATGACAATATACATAAACCAGCAGGCAAATAGACCTTGTCCCAAACAAGCCAAATATGGAAATTCATTCATTCCATATTCATTACACACACACACACACACACACACACACACACACACACACACACACACACACCAAATAACATCATTACATTATCAGTGTGTCATCTCTAACTCCTGGCTGCCAAAAATAACAGGAAAAAGTATGATTCTCAGATATTAGAACATGTTGCCTATGTGTGTTGGTAACCTTTAGAGCAGTGATGGCAAACCTATGGCACGGGTGCCAGAGGTGGCACTCAGTCCTAGGCTTTTAGCTGGGTTTTTTGCTTTAGGCCTCTGCCAGTGTGTGCAAAAAAAAAAAAAAAAGGTTCAATCAATCAATCAATTCAACTTCTTGCGGGAAAAAAAAAAGATCTTGCAAAATTGGAATTGATTGATTGAACTTTTTAGTTACCACCATAGCCACACCCACCCAATGGGCCACACCCACCCGGCACTCGACGATGCATAAGTGGGTTTTGGGTTGCAGTTTGGGCACTTGGTCTCTAAAAGGTTTGCCATCACTGCTTTAGAGGATACCATACAGAGAAGTCTATTCTTTCAGAATAACAAAGTAATAGAGTTGGAAGGGACCTTGGAGATCATCTAGTCCAACCCCCTGCTTAGTCAAGAAACCCTATACCATTTCAGACAAATGATTGTCCAGTCTCTTCTTAAAAACTTCCAGTGTTGGAGCATCACAACTTCTGGAGGCAGGTTGCTCCATTGATTAATTGTTCTAACTGTCAGGAAATTTCTCCTTAGTTCTAGGTTGGATCTATCTTTGATAAATTTCCGTCCATTGCTTCTTATTCTGCCTTCTGGTGCTTGGAGAAGAGGTTGATCCCCTCTTCTTTGTGCAGCCCCTTAGTTATTGGAACACTGCTATCATTCTGATACTTTAATCAGAGCTTAGCAAGTGTTTCAGATAGTATACTCTATTACACAAATTCATTTGATCTTATGGATGGATTTTTAATATTTAAAATGACTAAAGTCTCAAGAGATTTCGTGCAAGAACACAAACTTCATGAGAGACTGGGTTATCTCATTAGCTCTGGATCATTTTAATTTGTATCTATAAATCATTTTTAATAAAATATTTTGGCATCACAAAGGTATGTTTCAGAACCTTTGTTTTTAGTAAATGGAATACTGTGGTTTCTGGTGTAGATCTTAAATTCATTGTTTCCCCCCAAACTGCTGAAATTCAGGTTTGCCCAGATTTTATAGATACATCACAATATCTGAGCTAATGTAATAAATAATGAAGAGTAAGAAATTAAGTACACACTATAGTATCTTCAGGACATTTGCTTGACCATCTGTGTTAGAAAAAGTCTTGAAATTTGAAGTAAGTTCTTACTAATTACTTAAATTCCAGAATTTCAAGTTAAAATTTCAACTTCAAATTGAAATTCATACTAATTACTTAAATGCCAGAATTTCAAGTTGAATTTCAACTTCAAATTGAAGTTCTTACTAATTACTTAAATGCCAGAATGGGGCCAGGATTTGTATGTGTTAATTGTATTCAGTTAATTTATACAAAAGATTCAAAGAAAGAGATGCAACTTACTCTTCTACATTTGTAGGATCCCCAAGTATCTGTAGGCAGCAAATGGAGGTAATAATAAAATTATTTTCTTCAGATAATTACAGAGGGGAAGAGTGGACTTTTGCTTTCTTTTTCTTTTGTAACAAAAGTAATCAGAGAGTTGCTCTCCTTGTTTCTGTTTTGTGTTTCATCCAAAAGATTCTTTCTAAGTTCCTTCAGGTTTCCTGGTTGCCCTGGAGATATCTCCATCGTCTTAGCTCTCCAGAGCTCTGGAGGAAAGTAACAGATGTCTTTGAATCAACTCTGCTGTCGTATTTACATTTCAGATGGTTTGGTTCTAACTGTATTAAAACCCTTCAAGTATAAACAATATGACATATTGTTATCAAAAGCAGCAGATGTTGCGCTAACAAGCATATTTTCCTGGTTGGAACAGGAAGAAGCAAAAAGCGAGACAAGTGCCAGAATACCGAAGTCTATCCTCAGCTTGAGACGGAACTCTGCCCTTGTGCAATATTTACCTCCCAGCCTTATGGAAATTGGTCAGAATGCATAATTGCGGTAGGAAGAACAGAACTGCAGGTAGAGATGAGATTTCAGAGACATGCCAAAGAATGTGGAGAAGGTGTGCGCTTCCGAGCACTTGCCTGTTATGATAAGACCGGCAGAGTTGTGGATCCCTCTCAGTGCAACCACTCAGGTAAAAAAGAGCATTGAATGTATGTAAAAATCACACCTTGAAAGGGAGTCCTTTGTAACGCCTCCTTTCGTAGCCCGATAATATGACACTTGCTGTAACAAACATTGGTGTTACAATCCATCCCATCACATAGGACAAGAAAACAGAATATGAATTGTTTGACCAAACTTACTCTGTTGGTGGCCTTTAACAAGGTAACGGTGGAATACCAATTCATTCATAACATCAGTTAATGAATGTCTGTAGTGCCCCAGCTGAACAGAAGCTAGGTTTTAGATGGGCAGATATGAATGAAAAATGTTTCTACTTAATTGTTTTTAGCTTCAAGAGGGGACCTCGGTATAGAAAAATACAATATCTCACTTCTCTTGCTATAGATGTGAAATCTGGCTGATTATTCTCTAATTACTTTGATACTTTAGTAAAACTTAAAGCAAGACCACCCGCTTAAAGAATAACGGTATGGCTTTCTGCCACGCCTGTCTTAGAAGTATTATTTTATAAGGTTGGATAGGTCCGCTCTAGAAAGAAACCAATTTAAAATTTTGAGATGTGTGGAAATCAGCAATTGTCAATTGCATAAATGTCATCAACTGGAGTTACATTAACTGATGTTTCCCCTCCAAAGCTAGAAAACATTTCTCAACATCTCATCACCACATTGTCCTTTTATTTTTTGCAAGTTGTCACATTCAGTTTCTGTTGTTGTTACATTTGTTGTTAATAATTAGTATTGTTTCTGACCCTTTAGTCTTGTCTTCACTCAGCCTTTTCTTATTGGGTTTTTTTTTGTCATGCCTTGCCTCTTTTCATCAGCATGCAGGATTCCCAACCGGAGGAATAGTCTGTTAACAGTGTTAGATTTGTACCCATCAGTTTGACTGTATTGAGAATCCGAGGGGGGAAAAAACCAAACAGAAGGAGATAGGATGAAGCTTCTCCATAATGGAGCTGTTCATTGGAGTACAACAATTCCATTCCAGCAGTGACAGTAAATTCATGCAAGTTAGTTCTTTATGAATCACTGCACACCTTTCCAGATTTTGCCTTTTTAAAATTTATATGAGAAAAAGCAAGACAAACAAATCATTTGCTGGGTATGGCTTCCCCATATTTTCATAGTTTGTGGCCAAAAATATTTAAAAATGCTGTATTATTAAATATATCAGCATGCCAAAATTGAGAGGTTTATTTGCGGCTGTGCAATTTGTCCAAACGAGCATATTTATTTGCTTTAACTTACACTTCAACATTTGTTGAAGTATTAAATATTATTGTGAGATACTAAAATAGTAACCACAGCAATATCTACAGTGAAACAGATATTTGCAGGAAGTCCTCGACTTTCGACAACAATTGAGCCCACAATTTCCGTTGATATGTGAGTTTTGCTGCATTTTATGACTTTTCTTACCACAGTTGTTATATGAATTACTGCAGCTAATAAGTTAGTAACATAGTTGTTAAGTGAATATGGCTTCCTCATTGACTTTGCTTGTCAGAAGGTTGCAAAATGTCATCACATGATCCTGGAACACAGCAATGGTCCTAAATATGAACCAGTTGCCAAGTGTGTCTGAATTTTGATCACATGATTGTGGGGTGCTGCATAGGTCATAACTATGAAAAACGGTCATTTTTCAATGCTATTGTAACTTTGAACAATACTAAAACGAACTGTTGTAAGTCAAGGACTATTTGTATTATCAGAATCCATTAAAGAGCACGAAGGAAAATCTGTCAACAAGTAATAACATAGGAAACTCTTATTTTAGATTTCATCTTAATTTGCATATTTTTAATTGGAAATATAATCTTTTCTGGACTGTTGGGCACGGGTTTTAGTTGCGCTTCAGGTTTTAGTTACTGTGATCTAGAGAATAGATTTCCTGCCATTTCACTTGCAACAGTGGCCTTTAACCAAGTTGGTTTCTGATTGGTGCAAGTTGGTGAGGGCTGATCTGGATTGGTGCAACCTATATCAGTCAGGAAGCAGCTCATCTAAAGGCCAATCAGAAGTCAGGATATTTGGCCATAAAGATAGTAACCCAACCACTCCCTGCTCAATTGCACAGCAGACCACTTTTCCTTTGAAGATGCCAGGTTGATGATACATATGTGGAAAACGTAGAGTGCAATTCTCCAGGAAAAGAATAAGAAATAATCTTAAATTCCACAAGATTTTCACAACTTCTGTGGTACAAAATTGCTACACTATTAACAATCATATTAATATTCCCTACTTCCTCCTGCAATTGTTCCTTACGGCAATGTGCCCATAAAATAAGTGGAAAGAAAGTGACTAGCACTGGTTGAGGGTGAACTTGAATCCAAATCTTCCCCAGACGTTCTCCAATTTCTTAATCCAAATGCTACCCTGGCTCTCATCCTTCTGTTGGTGCTCATAATTTACACCTCTTCAGATTCCAGTTTTTCTCACGCTAGCTCAAAACAGTTGTACATAAATATATAATGGTAAAAAAACAACAAAGGATAAGAGAACAAAACGATGCTTCACATCCTTTGAGAAGAACAGGCAGAAACAGGAGACTTGTTGCTGTTAAAATTTACATCCAGAGGATTTAGTTATTTGCTTGTAATTGAGGAACTAATTTTCATTGCATCAATAAATAAGACCCTCTGTTGAAATATATCGCAGCAGAGGGACCTTCTGTCTTTGAGGTAGGCAGAATCCAAATGCTCAAAGGCCTTATAAATGCCAGGAAGGGCTCTGGAAGTTGTAGTTCAATACTATCTAGAGACCAGGCCCTTTACTTATTTTACGTTCAATCCAGATATGTTTCAGGAAAACACTTTGAAATGAAAGGATCTCAGTTTGCTTCTATGGAAATTGTTGCCACCGTTGCCATTGACCCCTGGAGTGATGTATGGAATTCTGTCAAAAGGCCATGCTTTGTACAAGGCAGCTTGTGGTGCTGTTTTCCAAGTATACAGCTGCCTCAGATTTCTTAATTACAATGATGAAATATGCTAGTCGTGAAAGCAAATGAGATTAAAGCCAATTAGTTTACATGTGCATCTGCTTCAAAAGCTGCTTGCCTATCATATTTTATTTCCAAAACCCTAGCCTCCCTTTAGACAAACTTTTTAACAGGTTGGCATGACTCTGTGCAGCTATAACAGATTTAGCACATAAGCAGAGAAATACACCATTGCTTTTATTAAGTGAAGATTGCATGCTTTTTGCTTACATTTCTGGAAATCTACCCTTTGACCAAAGAAAATTCACTTTATTATTCAGACTCCTCAGGAGCCTTTATCTTATTTACTCTGGCCTGCAGCTATAATGTTTTATTTTAGTTTATGAATACACACACACACAAACACACACACACCATTTATGCCCTTGTACAATTCATCAGCCTCTCAATATTTAGTATAAATATATATGTTTCCTTAAACATATCTTTGAATGCTTTCTGCCTTCGGCTTCACAGCAAGATTACTGATGTGGAAAACTGTCCAGTCATAAGGCAGGCAAGCAAAAATTTTGAATCATAAACTGTAATCATTAATAGTTTAAAAAGCTAATAAAAACTCAGTAACCAATCTGCCTTCTAGCTCTTCACATTATTCTACCCTCAAATGCTATGAAATTGAAGTTTCTGTAGTTCCACTCCTCTCTTTTTAGTTAATGCTGTGTCAGGATTTACTTGCCATTTTCTCAATCTTTTTTTTCCCCCTTTCGAAAGGGCTTTCTGCATTTCTACCACATGCTCTGGATTCTTGAGAATTCTTTTTGAATTTACAGCTACGTTGTCTCTGCCATTAATGTTATTTTGGAGATAACAGAAAATAAAGTTGCTTGTATGGTTTATTTTTGTTGTTAAATATTTCCTACCGCAGTAAACCTCCTTAGGTCTCTGTACATGCCAGACTGAGAAAAACTCAGGGAACTTTCTCATGCTATCTTGCTTCGGGATTGAATTGTCATAGAAGAAGCAAAAGAGGCTGCAGACCACCAGAGAGACATTTGAACAATGAAAAAAAGTCACTCGCAGATCTACTTTCGTCACTTTGTCATTTCATAACTGGAAGAACCTAATTCTATGCTCATGAGAATTTTGCAGAATGTCTTTCTGTGAAATAAATTTTGAAATCAGTTCTGCATTAAACAAAACTGATAGGGAAAAAATGGAGCTACATGCTTACCATCTTTATAACTTGGATGCTGGTACCCAAGTCACCTTGCAAGGGAGATAGACAGCATAAAAATGTAATAAATAAATAAAAATGATTTTTTTATACACTGCCTGACTAAATATTGCTGACACTGAGTAAACCCCTGTCTGGGAGCAATTAATTCTTAGGTAGGTTGTCTCTACTGTGGATCTCAAACCTGTAACAGCATCTCCCAACAAGACAGCTTAATTCTCACAGAATCTCATTAGTCCCATTTACTGCAAGGAGATGGGGATTAAGTTATAGAATCTTGAAAATTGCATATGTGTCTTTAGATTTAATTTATAAGTGAATATGTTAAGACAAGCTTCTTCGATACCTTTGATTTTCTTTCTAATTGTCTTTTGGCTTGGAAGAAGCTTGCTTCATGTTTGAAAGTAGAAAAAAAAATACCCCTGTGCTGCAGTGTGTAAGAAGTGTCTATTTCTGTTCCAAGTTGCAGAGAATTTAATTATGATAGAAAGTATTTTGAATTTTTAATAGTTACAGAAATGAGGGTTCACTCTGTAAAAAATGTCTGCTTCATACAGAATAAAGCCATCATAATCCAGAGCCAGTTTGATTGTTAACTGGATTATACCCATGCAATCAGACAAATGTTTGAAAATTTATAATACATCTATCAAACTATAATAAAATGTCCTGAGTATATGAATGAACAAGTGAAATAAGTAGCCCAACTCCTGTATACATAAATATATAAACCTATCCCTCAAAAAATTGCTGTTTTTAATACTATGGAAAGCCAACCGCAAGGAGGCTGATCAGATTTCTAATTGATTGATTATGTGTCATCGAGTCAGTGTTGACTCTTAGCAACCACATAAATAGATTTTCTCCATAATGATTTGTCAGTCTGCTCTCTCAGGTCTTGTAACGATGCATTCATTGCCATTTAACTGAATCCACGCACCTTGCGGTTAGTGAACCAGTTCTTCTCTTTTTTCCCCATCTTTACAAGCATTAGCGGTTTCTCCAGAGAGTTAGATCTTCACACATGTCTGAAGAGCAATAATTTATACCTGATCATTTGTGCCTTAAGGGAGAACTCTGGGTTGATTTGATCAATGGCCAGTTACTTGTTTTCTTGACTATTCATAGTATTCTCAGGAGTCTTCATCAACACCAGACTTCAAAAGTGTCAATACTCCTTCTAGCCTGTATCCTGCTGTGACATAGAATGTCACAGGGAATGCCATTGCTTGTGTAATTTTTAACTACTGTATGTAGATAAACCACATCACAGCATTTGAATATATTTTCAGTCCTGCTCTGCCTTGTTCTAATCTACTTCGGATTTCTTGACTGCTCATTCCTTTATTGTTGATAGTTGATCCTAAAACACAAAAGCCATTCACCACTTTGGTATATTTTTTGTCAGTTTTTAATGCTGCTCTAATTTTGTCATTATTTTGGTCTTCTTTATATTTAATTTTAGACTCCTTTTTTTTTTTACTGTGCTCCTTGACTTTTATTCCTCAAGCTTACAGATTCTGTGCATTTTCAGCTGTCAGAGAAGATCAGATTTTGAGGAAGAGGTTATTTCAAAATGTAAGTGCACCAGTAGAAAATCAGAGCCTGCGGGCCTCTGCCCCCTTTACTCCCCAGAAGTAGGAAACAAAATCAGTTCTACACAACATGTAGGAGTCAGGCAGATAAAAACCATTTGAAGACGACCATCCAGCAAATATCTCAGTCCCAAGACATATAGGGTTTTAGCAATCAAGACTAGCAGTTTGAACTACATTTGGAAAATGTGGGCATAAGTTATCTTTATGAAATACACATGGTCTATGAATTACAGGAAGGAGGAAAGCAGGAAGAATCTTGTTTTCTTAGAAATATTCTGTGTTGTTTAGTTTCTTAAACTTGGGGGGAACCAACTGAAAAGGGAAATAACATAATTTGATCTGAAACAAGGAAAATATGATGCTTTATCATTGCAATGGATCTTGTAAAGAAGTCTGCAGTGAATTTTGACTAATATCTTTTTACTTTTATCCAGTGGCTATGTATTTGTATCCCTTCCCATGATATTGCCTGTATATTTATCAGATATATAATTTATCTACAAACCCCATGATAATAAATACTGTGTGAGAATTAATAACTATTTACTCTCGTTATTCTGTTGATAATTATTTTATTCCAACTTTTCCCTTTAAGATAGTTACTTTTTGCTGGAAATTAATTAACAGGGCTGTCACGAGGTAATTGAAAACTGAAGTTTGTTTTTGTTTCTTCTGAGCTGAAGAATTCTTTGTAATAGGTTTACAAAAACATCTGGCAAATTTCCCACATATAACTGGGTCACGCATTATACTTTGTTGCCTAATGGGATAAACAAATACCTGTGCTTCACTCTACCTAATGATAGGTATTCCTATAGAGCAGTGGTTCTCAACCTGTGGGTCGGGACCCCATTTGGGGTTGAACGACCATTTCATGGGGGTCGCCAAACAACGCAGTCCGCCATTTTTTTCCCCTTTTCCTTAGCTGTGCTACTCCCTTTCATTCTATTGGCTTTTGAAAGCCAATAGAATAGACTCTCTTGAATAGAGTCTAATTCTATTGGCTTTCAAAAGCCAATAAGAATTGTCCAGGCTGTCTCTGCCCTGCTGAGCCTGCCAAAAGTCCCATTCTGCAAACGGTGCTGCACCAGTTGAGTAGTCCTCGACTTACGACTGGTTGAGTAGTCCTCGACTTACGACCGGTTGGGGGTCGCGGCATTAAAAAGGTTGAGAACCACTGCTATAGAGTTTCTTTTTAATGGTTTAACTATAGGTTCTTTGTGATATGCAAGTGTAAAGGACAGGTATGGATCAATATATACTGACATGAGAAGAAGGAAAATACTGATGAATAACAGAAAGAAAGATAGACCACTATGCATGTATATATAGAAGCTGCTAAGATAAAACATTGGTATGCAAAATAGCCAGTCAAATTAGTGTACATTTTAAATTAGACTGTTATACAGCTTAGGGAAGAATTGCAATAAAAGAGCTATTATGGAAAAATGGTAACTATCAATTTGCTCTGACTCCGATGCAAAGGGCAACAAAATGCAGCAAGAAAAGATAAATGATATCAACTAATTTTAGTATTTATTGCTTTGGCCCTTCTCCATAAAATTAATTTTATTGTGGCTTAAGGATACAGACAGTTTTAAATAGTTACAGGTATTCTAATAAAGCACCGTAACAGAAAGGCTTTTAAGGATCTATCCTTGTCATAAACAAATTCGATGCAAAAGCCATCAGCCTGTTCTGCTAATTTGATTTATAGCTTTAGCTCAACATTTGCCTCCTATAGCAAAGCAGCATATGTAATTTCATTCTTCGGGGATAAAACTACTCAACTTTCCTTTTATTTTCTCAATATTGAGAAATCTGAGGATACTAAAGTTTTCGACAGAGAGTAAATTAGGGGGGTTCTTTGTAGTTTCTGACCTTGCTTGTTTTCTTGCACTTTTCATTATCCTAACTAGGTAATATCATCAGTGCTAGTAAGGAGTGCAGTTTGCTGTCAGTTTATATTCTGGTGTCTTGCCTGTCTGTGTGAGTGGAGGCGGTTTTATGGATTCTTTGGTTGGGCTGTTTACTAATGGTTCTTCAGCAGTTTTTTGACTGGGGTATTGCTTACTTGCTTGTTGGTCTGAACTTGACCTTGGAGTTAATCTATGCTGATCCGAGTGCTGATTGCTGGTGGAGAAGTGCTGGAGCCTTTCACCATCTTTGTCCCTCACTGCAGCTAGATTTTTCAGGAAGAAAGTCCAAGTGTGAATGCAGAAAATGAATCTTCAGTGACATGTTGCACTTCATGAACTTGTATGTAGTTTGGTATTCTGTAGTTGCCAAAAAAAATCTCAACAACATGCTTTCCAAATGATTTTCTCTGGCCCCACTAACAGATATTTGAACCACCGGTCATTGATGACATACCTGATCTGTGGACCAACAAAAATGTTTTTCTTAATCTTGCCATCAGTTATTTTTAACTATATTATATTTTTTATATCTGGCTCATGAAAATTCCTTTTCACTCAGTGTGATCCAGGCAAGCCAAAAGATTGGACATGTCTGATCTAAAGTAGACAGGCAGACAGGCAGGCAGGCAACCCTAACTCTCAACCTTCTGAATGGAGGTGAGCATCTTCATCACTAGGCGACAACACCACTCAGTAAAATCCTCAGGTCCATCCAATTGCCCCAACTCTACCCCAGATTAAGGGATTACAGGAATTCATAAAAAGGCAGGTTATAGATGACAGGTAGACAGACAGACAGATTCAAGTGATTTATGGATTAAAACTGATCTCTTCAGACACATGAATATTCTTAGTAAGAGCATTTACAAGTATGTCTTAGTAAGTCTCTTTGCACTGAACTTGAGTCCTGCTGGTTTCATAACCATATTCAAGTTCTTTTCTTGACAACCATAGAGAAGCAGTTTATCCCTGCTTTCTTTCGGGATGTTTTCTTGACTTCCTAAGTTTGAGTGCAGCCCTTTTATTTCTTAGTGACTTCTTACATACTTACTAATCAAGTTTGACTTTTCTCAGATGCTTTATATGGGATGCCATCTAACTGAGCTTCCAGCATTGTTAGAAAGTGAGTGTGGAAGGAAAATGCACTGTGTTAAATATTGATAGTGATATTAACAGCAGGCATTTGTGAAACTGTTAGGTAATAGGATGAATATATTTCCATTAGAAAGCCTGTTAGCACATATTTAAAAGGTTGTAATGCATGAAGTTGGCATATATTTATAGTAACTACTGCTGTATTAATAGCGGCTGAGCTACTTTCTTTTGTGAAGCAAAGAGGATTGTGTTTTTGCTTTAAGCCTCATGTAATTATTTACGGCAATATTTATGCAACATGCTGAACCAGTTAAAGCCAGGTACAGTATGTACGGTAGCTATTCCTAGAATGAAATCACTTGGGGTTGAAAATGATAAATATTGTGTTCTAGATGTCTCCAAGTTTGTAGTGCACTGTTCAACCCATGCATTAAGAAATTCAGCTGGCTTTCTTTCTCCAGGAACATAGACTCTGGATGCAGCTTCAACAATGCAATAATTTCTCTGTTCCCCAATTTCTAACTATTCCTTCTTTCCTATTTTTTTTCTAATTTTAGGTTATATTGAACAACCTTGCACTGTACCTTGTCCATTTGACTGCAAATTAAGTGACTGGTCTGACTGGTCTCCTTGTAGTTCATCGTGTGGGACAGGAGTGAAAATTCGGTCCAGGTGGCTTAAGGAGAAACCATACAATGGAGGGCGTCCTTGTCCAAAACTGGATCCAAAGAATCAGGTGAGGTGTATCATAAAGCCAATACACCAATTTGGAATAGATCATCTTTAGCCAAATCATTCTGTGATTGATACAGTGGAATCTTTCTCATAAGAAAAGCCTTCGTATATAGTTTCCTTTAACCGTCTCTTTTATTGCAGATGCATGCTAGAATAGCTAAACTTTTGGAAGATTTTCTTATTCACAAAACTATTAACATCCCATAAAAGATTATTCATTAATAATAGCATATCTTGTCTCCAGTCCTAAAATAGCTAAGGCTGGTCAGTGAGATCAGACACTGTGAATAATATTTAAAGTCATCTGTGAAGCCTAGGTTTTTTTTGTTTTTTTTAAAAAACCCTATTCTTTGAAGATATTTCCCTCACTAATTCAATTTCACTCATTCTAATAACTTTCTGTCTGACAATTACATGCTAATTTTAAAGTGTGTATTCTATTATAAAAGGATGCCAATATAAATGGGAATATCCAAATGAAAAATTAGGAGTAAAATATTTTTCAATTAATGTTGTAATTTAATGTAATAAAGGAACTTTGCAGTTAATATAGATAGGAGATTATTTCCAGTCATACAATTTAAAATGTTTAATGCTTTTTAAAGACTATTGAAACCAAATCAGCGGTAATCTTCATTTTTATGATTATTTTCTTTTAAAAGGGTCAGTCTCAATTCATTACACTCTTTTTATGTTTTTAACACAAATATGCCTATGTTTGGAAGAGCTTTTTAAGTTTAGAGTATCCTAAATAGAGCTATGCAGAATCTTCCAAAGAGATCTGCGTAGGAGTCCGCACAAAGAATTTCTTTTCAAAGTTGGCTGAGGTAGCCTTATTGTTTGCCAGAGTTATGTGCCTGCTATTTGAAAAGAGGTTTTTATTCATACCTGTTTGGAAGGTGTGCTCAACCCTCACTTTGAGTTCAAAAAGGAAAAATTCCTGTCCATAAAGAAAATAGTATAAGCCATTTTTTCCTTTCTCTGATTGCAATTTTGACCAGTTCATTGTTGACACATGGTCTATTGTCTTCTACTAAACACAATCATATGTTAACACATTCAAGAGCGAGAAATATTTCAAGTGATGGCTTTAATTCCTAGACTTAGTTCATATGCTACTCACACGTGTTTCTCTTCACACTTTTGTATTGAATAGTAGCTATGATGCTTAGGTATGGGTAACTCTGTAGTTATGTAACTGGGCAAAGAGTTTGTTGACTGCAAAAAAAAATGTCGAGCATAGATTTTAAAAGTATACAGGTAGTCCCTGAAGTACGACCCTAATATAGCCTGCACATTAGGCTCGTAATCATCAAATGAATCAGACTCAATATTACAACATTTTAAAATCAAACTCAATTGAATCAAATGGGTCGTTAAATGAATGAAGATTTGACTTATTATTTCCTCCAATGGCTGCCTGAACTTTGCGGCTGCTGCAGGCTGTTTCCAGCTGCCAATCAGCTGTTTCAGGTTTCAGGAACTACGGTACAGTAAATTACCTCCCAAGCAGGTAGCAGGCTTTTTTTTACAAAAAAACACCCATTTGTTGCTAGGCAGCTCAAGCTTCTTCAGTATTTTAAAATACTTATAGGTAATTCTAGCTCTCTACAGTAGTCCTCAAGCCCAGCAAGCAGGAGATCTTCCACGCAGCTCCAGGAAAACAAAAACAAATGGTCGGTGCCGGCTGCAAAAATCACCGGATCTTGTTTGGCCTTGTGACCAGGCACAACCCCCCCCCAAACCCCATTTCCGACTTCTTGTAGGTCCAAACCTGCCCAGGCAAGTCACAGAGTTAAAATGGCCACCACAGCAGCTGAGACTGAATCCAAGTCACATGGCTACAGAGGCCTGTTTTTGGTCGCAATTTTGAATTTCTAATATAAGTACCTTTCTGAATAACCTTGTTTTTGTAAAATCTCTCTAAATAAACACTCGTATCTGGAGGATTATCTGTATATGCATATTGGCCCTATTCCATTCTATTCCTGAATGGAAAGCATGCAAATATTAGAGTCATCCTATGTCCATTGAAGGATAATTTAGACTGCACTTGTGTGTTATCATTAGACTGACTTGTTTTTGTGACAAATGATCAGGAAAAATCACTCAGAGTTATTTTTTTATTGGTCTAAATCAGAGATGGACATTTCACCTTCAGCGCTCTTCACCCTTATCAGTGCTGGTAAGCTCAGATCTCTTAATTTGAAACCCAAATGTCAGCCATCCTAGATTTTATGATAATAGCAACTCTAGATTGCCGGTTGCATAGTCAGCACATGTACCATCCAAGATAGGCTACCCTAACCTGTGGACTTCTAAATGTGATTAACTTTACCTTTCTGAATTTCTAGCCAGTATGGCCATTAGCCGTGCTAAATGTGAATTCTGAAAGTTGAGCATAATTGAAAAGCATTAAGTTGAAGAAATTTGCTGCTATTATTATTATTATTATTATTTAAAACCTGCTTTGAAAATGTGGATTCAACTTAATCTTAACATTATTCACAATCTTTTTAAAAAAGATTTTTATCCTGCCTTTTTTTAAAATATAAAACTCAAAGCCGTGAAAATAGCAATATTCCTTCCTACTCCTCTTTTCCCACAACAACCCTGTGAGGTGGTTGGGTTGCTTAAGGCAGGACTAAAACTCACAGCTCCTGGTTTCTAGGCAAACTGGCTCTCTTTTCATTATTACAAGCTTTTATAGATTATTATAGATTGTTATGCTTTTTATTATTGCATGTGGATTTAATCAAATCTCTTTAATGTTTTTCTTCACTTCCTCACATGAAATACATAAGGAGATTCTGTATGATACAGAATACTCAGAAAGATTCTCAAAGTTTTTCTTCATGAAACTGAAGAATTACAAAACAAGTAAAATGAAACTTGCCACAAGTAATGTGGAGATGGTAATTTCTTGAAAAAAATAGTGAACTATACTTCTGCAACCAGAGTATCATGTTTACATGAAAATTAAAACACATTGCTCTTGCCAGCTTCTAATAACACATTTGAATAAAACTTTGAAAATTGCACTTGATTACTATAGCTCAATGATGGCGAACCTATGGCACTAGTGCCAGAGGTGGTACTCGGAGCCCTCTCTGTGGGCATGCATGCCATCGCCCCAGCCCCACCTTCCCCCGTAGCTCCCTCCTCATTAGCAGCCCCCCCCCCAAAGGAGAATCACCCCCGGGTGCGGCCTGTGCGGAACTGCACAGCCAAGCACATGGCAGTGGGGCAGCAGATGATGCTGTGAGGTGCAGGCAGAGGGCGTGGCCACCATGGCACTGCAGGGCCGCCTGGGGGATCTGTGGCGTGCTGTGGATGGCCCTGAGGGTGGGCGGGGTAAGGGCGGGAGTGGGCAGGGAGAGCAAGGGCGGGCCGATTTTTGGCACTCGGTCTCTAAAAGGTTCGCCATCACTGCTATAGCTAGTAATTTTTGTGTACTTGTTTCTTTGTAAGACCTATAATGGCCAACTATTTCAGCATAATGGCATGTATAGACTTCTGAATCTGGTTTACAAAAATAATATATAATGTACCCTCATTCTTACACATTTTTTGAAAGGCATAATCCCAAATTTATTTAGATATAATAATGCAGGAAACATGCTAGCATGTTTTTTCTCATATTTTTCTTTAAATTGCAAAGAATTATAATTTATTTTATGATTCATGCTTTGTATGAGATTTTCTTCATAATAAGAAAAGCCAATATTATATATAGTTAGTTGTTGAACTCTTCACATTTGTTACTCTTTTAAATTTTAGCATCTGATATGGAAATTCACTAGGAACTCATTGTGAACCTCAGGATGAGAAAGGAAAGGAAAGTAGTTCCAATTTGTTTCTAGTGAATTTGTTATTCCAGCTGTTTTTCTCAGTGACACTTCCTGGTATTACTCAGAAAAATAACAAATTACATCCTAATATGAAATGTCCAATTTTTTTTGTCAACAAGAATTCATTTTGTGTGCTTTTTGACACTCTTAAATGCAGTACATTAGTAAATCCCACGCCTTGTGATTTAAAATAGGGCTTTTTGAAATTTTCCTTATCCTCCGTATTCATTTGATAAAACATCCTGATATAATGGTAAAAGACTGTGCCTGTGAATGAGAAAAGATTATCCGTAGCAACTGAACTTAAATATTACCTCAGTTGTAACATAACATTTTGAGGATATCACCGGCTAAATAAGGCTATTAAATTTGCCAATTTCAGCCAAATCATTGGAAATGGCTTTGCAGTGGTCTATTTAGCAGAGAGATGTACCAGAGGCTTTTGTTGACAGCTTTCTATGGATGTCTTGCTCAACGTTTAATTTATTTGTTTTCCATTTTATGGAATCATGGCATGGTTCTGTTGGAAGGTATCTTAAAAATCATCTAATCTAACCGCCTTGCTCACTGCTAAAACATTTCAGACAGATTGTCTGGCCTGGCCTGGCTTGGATGTTCGGGGGAAAAAAGACCCTCGACTCCATTTATAGTGAGAGGTATAACTTTTACTGAAGCCAAGTGGTTACAATATAGCAAATCCAGATCTAAATATTCCCGCGTAACCCCTTTTTTTTTTCTCTTCTCCCGGACTCTGCCCTCTTGGTCCTTTTATAAATGTCCAATGGTGTTTAGACTAGGTGTTTTGGTGCCTAAAGTTTTGTGCCTCTTTGGTGGACATTCACATACTGTTCTCACACTTGGGACCTTGGATCTGCCAGGCTCTGTTCCAGGCTGGCACCTCTGGTTCCTCTCATCCTGTCATCCTTCCTCCCTATATCCTCTTATTCGTTCCTTCCTCCCCCCCCCCTTTTATGACAGGACGCCATGGAAGCAAAGCAGGGGTGAAGCAATGCGATGGCAGATCTGACACAGATAGCAATCCAATCTTTGCTTAAAGCCCTCCATTGAAGGGAAACCTATTACCTCATGACTCAGTCTAGTGGTTGACAGCTCTTACCACGAAGACGTTCCTTTTAATATCTAGCCTTCA